GTGGTTCACCTTCTTCCTCCTCCCTCAAAATAGTTCCAATCCCTGTCCACCCTTAGTTTTACCACTAACCTTGTATGCATTGCGAGTTTGGTAGCAATTAGTGAAGTTCGCCTCACTGTATTTCGCTGTGCGATGATGATGACGATGAAGATCATGATAGTGAAATACTTTTTTAACAACGGTTTCGAAGGAATAAATTTTCACGTAAACAATGGTTCATCGTGGTAGCGATAACAAAACATCGGGAAGTAAATGTCTCGAACCCATATCAAATAGGAAAACGAAAGATATAAGCGGTGTTCGGTAAAAATAACTTCGATAAACATGAGGTAAGGCAGAAATATGGTCGATGACTGCGTCAGATTGTATGACAGCAGAAAAGATGTTTTGCAAACACTTTCTTATTCCATAGAACTTCCCATCAATTTTAGCTTTCCCATGGTCTATCTCACTCATCTCAACCGTTAGAGGATATCCTAGTTAACGGAAGACAGGCTCCATGACTGTAGTTGCAGCATTGAGGAACGCTCGCCAGCCATTCAAGAGTTTGGTTACTCAAATAATTGGTAGTAGTATGATACAAAAGGCAAACAAACTCGTTTATGGTCATCTGTCCATCGGAACAGAAACGTTGTTCAAGATACTGGGTAAATCAAAATTTATTTCACGAATAAAACCTCGAATAGTTTAATAAAAATACTAAAAAACCGCAGAATACCAAATCTTCCAATATGATGAATGAAGGTAACATAAACGGAAGTGTAGCACAAAGCATTATCTCACAAGTGACGAGAACTTCCCTCTTTTAAGCACTCTTCGTAAAAACGATCAAATCCATTCAATGCATTTCATTGATGTGCGCTACGTAGCGATGTAATTCCATATTTGTTTACAGTTAATAAGGGCGTCCTTATGTGACTCACCAATTTTGGCAACTGAATACGAGCAATGAGAAATTCTGGCGATCCTTGTTCGGGAACCGTAACCAACTCATAGACAGGAGCTTCACCTTCCAAACTAGAAGCGAAAAATTGTGATGCAGCCATCAAATCCAAGTGATCTAAAAGACCTTACCAGTTCGGAGGGGAAGGTTCGTTGGAAACTTCTTGAATTAATTTAGTCGTAGGTCTTTTGAATTGAGAGAACAAGCGTAACAAAGTAAAAAAACTTACTCGTTAATGTTATCCAGTTCTATAATGGCTGGGCGGCTCGAAGAGCGAACGTACTGTTCCCGCAACTGTCCCATCGTCTTTTTGTTCTTTAAGATAATCCAATCTGTCGGACGAGATGATTATGGAGTAACTAGTGATGTCAATTAGCCAGAAATTGAGTGATCGGTTACCACCAATTCGCAACCGACTCACTTCGTTCTAAATCAACACCGTATTTGTGCTCCAAACCTTCAAAGATGACCGTCATCAGAAAAGCTTCGAACAGCTCGGAGGATCGAACTTTGTCGAAGAATGTCGGGTTTATGATCACATCGTATGCAGTACAGCCTTTGCCAGCTGAAGAAAGAAAAATATATAGATGCGACGAATAGCTCGAAGTTGATAATAGATGATGGTCTCCATCAACAACAGCTGTAAAAACCACGCGAATCACGCTATCGGTTTTAGTTTCCGTTTTTACAACCCACGCACTGTCGTGCGGCGATTTTGGTTGCTGTCTTTAGACTGCTCATTTCGATAATAAAAGAGCAGGCTGTCATACGCATCGCGATTCAACAGTGAGTAGAAGGGGGATGAGACATTTGGGATGGTTCAGTAAATCACTCTTCCATTGTACTCTAGTTCTACCATACCGGAACTAGATAGATAACACACATGTTGACTCGATAGTTAGTCACCTTTATCAGACGTTGAAATCTTGATATTTTTGTTGTAAGTACTTATGTTCTCTGTATTTTCGTCTGCCTTGAACATTGCACGAAGGAGTTGGGGAATACAATCGATTACCGGTCGATAATTTAACAATAATTCCTTACCAGCCGATTGTCGTAGCATGGAAAATGTTTGTTGAGGATGAAAGAAACACTAGATTTACACCAGTCCATTTTTTGGAGGGAGAAACCAATCGCACTTTGGATGTTCTCATCTGCAAGTTGCTGCCTTAGCGTTTTGTTTTTACTTCTTCCAGAATACCCATTTACGTTAGCGGGTTACAGTGTTGTTAATGCGAGATGCAGGCGACACCTCTGAACTGTACTTCACTGCAGAACATGTTTTGTGTTTAAATGCAATACAATTATTCACTTTCTCCATACGGCTGCTCTGTCACGTTTGGTTATTTGTTCCGGTTTCCGGTCACAATTACCACATCTGTACCAAGATTGCTATGCTTTCAATTCTTGCGCTAACGTGGAATGTTTGCTTTCTCTCGATTAGGTATAACAGATTTCTATTCTGTGGAAGTATATGTGAATTCATTTCACTGATTATCCTTTGGAAATTATTTTCAAGCACAATGCTTAGTCCGTTTAGTTAACTATACACTCGGAAAGACTCGAGTTTCGATCCCTTCAGAGCTTATCAGTAGTGGATCTGCTGTTCCGTTCGGAATTCAAACAGTGAACACAGCGCACAGCGGGTCTGGGAAAGGGGATTCGCGTTTAAATACCAAACATGGCAATGAATGTGCACTAGTGCTTGGCTCTTATGAAAGAGAAAATTGATTTTAGAGCTTTCCGATTGTATGAGTTGACTGGATAAACTGAGGATTGTGTGAAGATGAAATTGGAAGGTTGATTCGTTTGATCAATGCTGCGTGTACCACAATTAAATGAGATAAATGTGTATAAAAATATTTCTGTGAATATAAAGATACTGAAGCAAATTCAGGCAGTCTACATACCTAGAGCTGCCTTTCACAAATTCGTTCCACGTGGCTCTCAACCGGCGAGACTCAATGGATTGTCAAAGATGCCTAAGCCTAATGTTCCACTTAGACCAACAATTTCCATGAACAATTCGGCCTGTTGTGCAACACACAGTGGATTGTAGAAATTCTAGAACCTGTTAACAAATCGCTGACCGGATATGGTGAAAGATTCAGTCGCATTCGTAGACAATACAAGAAATCAAGATGTGTCTCTCAAGACCACGTTTTCCTTTGATGTTGAATAGTTGTTCACAAATGTATCATTGTTGGAGACTGTAGATCTTATTTCCCAGAACATCATTGACAACAATCGAAATAGCAATGACCAACCTAAAATAACTAAGATTGAGGTGCATTCCGAACGTTCACTTTTGTACAATTAAAAGCACTATTGACAGAGCCTCCGAAAACCTCGGTACGATCGATGTGGATATCTTGGTTTGTGGCTGGTCAACCTTCCCTTGCACCTCGCGAAATGCACCTATTCGACTACGCGTATCAAACAGCCTCTACTGAGAAAGTCCTGCTCACTGCCCTCTCGTGGCGGACGTGCTTTCCCACCAAAGCGAGGGGCTATAAACAGGTCGGTGAACCACTCGCAGTTCACCTAGGTGAGTTGCCTCAAAACCCTGACTCCCAACCAACCAAGAAGAGGCGTACGAACCACACTCACCCACATCTTTTGGGTTGTGGCAGCGGCCACCGGATCAATTGGACATTGAGGTGTATTGGGTAATTTAGACGTTCGACCCCGCCCGAGGGGCGTGACCCGGTGAACTACACACCGGCTTTCACACAGCACCCCGCTGCCTTCCGGGTCAGACCGTAGTTAGTCAAAGATACCTAGTGTGATTTACCTAAGAAAATTCACCTGCTTTGAACTAAGAAACTTGGCTGTACTCCGCGAACTCGCAAATCATCGGACTTTCTCTTTTTTTATAAAGATCATCATGATCTATTCTGGACACAGTTCGGATTCAGAGGTGTGTAAAATACAAACACTACCGATAGAAGGATGCTCTGAATATCAAATCACCGCTTAGGCCACTCCTGGCAGATATACTTTCAGTTAAGCTCAATACCACGCCTGACCTATCAGGACCTTATGTGGTTCGCCCCTCCAAGTACCAGGGCTCCGGTTATCGTTTTCCAACGCCGCGTCGGTTGTTCATCAAACGAATGTGTGAAATAAAACGCTCATAAGTGAACTACAGAAGGGCAGAATCAATAGTTTACATCTATAATCCAGTTTCAGTTTCAGTTCGTACAACCATTGACCATCACTTTCGTGCGTAAGTTTTGGTTGCTGACTTTTGACTGTCTATTTGGACAAAAGAGCAGAATGAAGATTGGAATTTTGAGAGCAGGATGAAGCAGAAGAAGAAAGATAGAAAAGTTGAAAGAAGAGTCAAAGAGAAAATGGAAAATTTCAGTAGACTAAGGTTGCGAAGAAATTGAGACAACACATGAACAACACAGCCATATCACTGCTTCTCTAGCCATTGATTACAATGATCCCGAAGTCCCCAGTTGAGCAGCTCAATGTGACCCATGTGACCGAGACTCGTGGTTAGGGTTTTCATACCCTCATGCCCGGTCTTAGTTTGACCTCCCTTGACTTTTTTTCCATCCACCCCCCCCCCCCACCTGCCTCGACAAACATCGCGCGCCGTGGCAACCTATTTGGCGACATGCGCAACACATGCCCCAACAGACGTAATCATTGGAGACGGACCACTTGTTTCAGTAAGCAAACCAACTGACAGCCTGAATTAACGAGAAGCATTTCATGAACTCCGAGGAGCGATGATTGACCGCAGACAAAATGAGAGACAGATTATCTGATGCGCTCCCCGAACATTTTCAATTACCCATATAAGGATATCGTCCATTTCTCATTCTTACATCCATTTCCTATTATTTATTCAGCATCATTCTCTTCATTAGGCTCATCGGACCATTTTCTCATTTCCTTTCTCACTTATTTCTCTCATCCGGTTTTGCCACCCAACTCCAGATGCACCTTTTGGTGTTACTAATCAGTCAACTGGGACAATCCCCTGAGTGGTTTAGCCAAGCTTGCAACTGCGCTGTACGTTTTAAATACTCAGCATTCTGTTGTTGGCGCGACTCACCCACTCAGCATCCCGCAACCGCTTCTTGCAAGCTGGAAACGAGTGCTCGTTCACCATATAGAGAGCTAAATAACGCTTCATTGCCAAGAGGATCTTGTAAATCGGTAATGATGACAGATTCACACCATTCGATGGAACCTGTACCTTGTTCCAGTCCAGGAGTTTCGCCAACTCCAAGGCCAACACTGAAACTTCATCCTTAAAAGCCAATGGGAACAGCCCATTTGGGTTGGAGGCCTTGTCTTTCACATAACTGAATTATCAGGAAACCTTCATTTCAGATGGAGTATTGGCATCAACTAAGAGTATTCGCCCATTATAAGCGGGTGGTGGTAATAAGTCTGATGTCAATGGTGGCCAGTTGGACTGAGCCTATCGATTAAGACAGCATTGCTGATGACGAATCCGTGTACTATCGGACTCCTTAACTACCTCATTCATGCCTACTTTCCGGGGGCCGGTGTTTTAGTCGCTGTTACAGGCGTGCTTTGGACCCTATGGTCCGAGGTTCGAGCCCCGCCACCACCACCCAACTTTGGTGGTAGACGCCTAACCTATCGGGGCTTTATGTGGTTCACCACTCCAAGTCCCGGGGCTTAGGTCGTCAGTTTCCATCACCGAACAGCAGGTCCTCGTGACTATGGGGTTTACCCCATCTGCTGTTCACCACACGAAAGTGTGTAATAAACTGCTCCTCACAGTGTTTATTTGCTGAAGTGACCTCTGTAAGGGCGAGTATAGATAGTCAAAGGAAGACAGGAGGTGCCCAAGCAGTTGGCCTCCACCCATTGACCCGTCAGGCATGATAGGACCTTCGACTGTGAAAAGCCATCCTGGGTAGCTCGCAAGGTCACGAAGGTACGCGAACCATCACATCGAGTCGATGTGCAGTCTCGCTGTGATGGCCAGCTTTAAGGACCATAATTTCACTATTTTCGATTCTAAAAAGGACATTGTTAAACGACTTTAAGCGTTTAAGAACAATTGTCCAGGTACACGGTTTACAATAGAGATAGAAAGAGACAACTTTCTCGCTTTTCTAGACGTTGGACCTCGTCAAACGAGGAAGAAGAGTATGCCATAGGATAGTATAAATATTTTCTAGGTTTGACTCCATTGAGATACAAACGGAAATCAGTGAACTGTCAAGCCTACAGGGGGAAGAAGATTTGTAGCCCGGACACACTGGATGGCGAGATGACACACGTGTTCTCCGGAGAAACCGTTACCAAAAAGGAGTTCATTCGACAACTGACGACTGCGGAATCCATAACGATTAGGGTTGTTAAGCCGGAGTTATGCAGGTAAACTGGTCCAGGGGCAGGTGTTATTACATCCAAAGTTCCATGTAAAAAAACTTTACCACTCTCCCCCAACCCTCATTTATTGACTTTTATTCACAACTTCACACCTGTTTTATTCACTCTCCACTAACACCTTTCTTATCGTACTCATTTCTTGTGGCCTCATAGGATTTTGTCACCCAAAAATTGGCGTACACGTACATTCATTCGACACCAACCAGGACATTTAGTAACCTATTGAATAATAGAAGGGATATGTCGAAAATAAGTTTCCTCGAATTCCCCAATTTGTTCTTGTAAATACAAAAATCCATATGTTAAAATTAGAGATTGAATCGTTTCACTCTCATCTGGCCGGAAAGTATACTTGCAGACTGCTAGTGATTAGTAATTCTAAACCTAATTAATCAATCAAACTTGAGAATTTGCAATCCTCTTACCCGAGTCCACTTCAGCATGGGGCTCACCGATACTCATCGGGATTTTGAAAGGAGCTGAACCCTCGACATCAGTGAGGATACTGCGTAGTTCTTCCTCCGAAATCTCTCTAGGTGCAGGAACTTTTTCAGATTGGCAAACATTCACAAAATATTTTTCTTGTGTCTTCGATTTCAGTTTGACACAAATACCTGAAAATATAACTGAATGAAGGGTTAAACACCGGCATACCAGGATAAGGGACTATGACCAAAGCCGCAGGTTCCGAGTTAGTTTCTTCATTCTTTCAATAAAACCAGTTGAACGAACAATGACAAAGCGGAAAGATACCTCTTGTTTAACGATATCAAAAATACCCATAATGTTTAGCCGGCCACTAAAGTCGGTGTTCTGCAGGGATCTAAAATCAGAAAATAATAAGAAAGCGGGTTTGAAAATGCGCGGATGAAGATGACATTCAAGAGAAAGAAGTTCCCAGTATTGAAATCAACAAAAAATCGAATGTCAACACTGGTTGAATAATTGAGATACTGAGCGCGAGGTACTATAACGAACTCAAAGTTCGAATCTTAAACAGGATGCTCGTTATGTAGAAGATTTTGACGATCGAGAGGAGCAAAAGGTGGAGAAACTTATGTTTATATGTATACCGTAAAGTTATATACAATAAAAGAATGGCCTCATATTTCCAGAGTTCTACAGATCAGCAATCGGACTCGTTAGTAGCAGCCCTGGAACTTGGAGTGGTTGACAATTAATTACACTAATAACACGGGCATTGTATTCAGCCAAACGATACTGAAGCCGCCGAACATTAGAGTGGGGCCAGAATAGTATGGAGTGGCACCTAGCACCCTATCATTGTCACGAAAGTGATCACTCAGGGGAGCAATGGGATTGGGTCGGCAGAGACTATCGTACGTCTAGGTTGGTGCATTCTTCGAGCTGGAAGCGTTGTTCGCAGACCTTTCGCAGCCAGGCTAGGCAACAGTACCAGTGCAACTTCGGTGAAATGCCAGTCCTCAGTGTGACCGGGCTTACATAGTTGTGCTTGAAGGTTTTGATTGGCTGTTTGCGTTCCTTCAATCCTATTGGTTGATTGCTGCGATTTGATCGGCTAGTATTCCATTGGTCGATTCGCTTCCTTGGATCAACCTTTAGAGATGCAAGGAGCTCTATCACGACCTGCGAAAGCGATCCGATATCTTATCTCCCGTGTTTCTCGATAGCCCGGTATGAATCAGGAAGAACAACCGATTAGTCAAGGGAAAGTATATTGTTCCCTTAAGTTTAGCCTCACTACGCTCGAGCGTCTGAAGGCAAAGAGCTTAGCGAGCGAAAGTGTAGCACTGAACTCACGCACTGTTTAAGGTGAAGCTACTTCACCGGAGGTGGCAGTGACTTAAACAAGGAAGCGGTATCAGGATATCGAAGATCCAGGCGGAATATATGTTGCAAAGAAGAAGGATGCATGAGCGAGATGCTCCGAGCAACCAATGCCTGCAACCATGCGAAAGCATGCATGCGGAACAGGCAGACCAAAAATGGTGACAGCTCGCGCATGTTACACTGTCGGTCATCATCCCCCTCAAGAAGGGTGCCGTAGGAAGCTTTTGACCAACAGGGATTAACGGCTAGGAATTCTGGTGTCGAAGCTAGGCAAAAACGAAAAACAAAACAACTGCGTGGACACTGTATGTCTCAAGCCGAATCCTAACTATGTGTATTGACACCAGTAACGCTCCAGCTAGGAAAAAGTTGGTCATGGTAAACAATCGCAGAAGCAAAATCAAGATTAAGAAATTAATGGATATGGTCAACAGACACAAGCAATCCGTCCAAGTGTCTACGTACAGGCAGTGACACTATACAAATGGATTTTATTATTTGGTTAGTATTTTGCATATCACACATAGCTCGATCACGAGCAACTCTTTCTTTGAAGAGGAGTTGAGGCGCGGTGAACTGTCTAACTGAGGACAGCCAAATGCGCCGGACACTGTCGAACGACCCGTGAGGGAGGTGCCAGACAGCGATGGGGACCCGTAACGCATGGCAGGCTAGGAGGCTCCACACATGGTCCTCGCCTTAGGTGTCTTTACTGTGATAAAAAGAGCAATCCATAATAAAGTTAGGAAAAATTATTCATAGTATGCGCCAAATGAAGTTGCCTATATTCCGTAGAATTGACCGAAAGAAACTCTACGTGGTTAATCTTCAGAGCAGCATGTTGGGCTCTGAAAAAGAACAGACTCGTGAAAACAAATGGTACATAAAACGTATGAAACAGATGCTTCAGCTACGCGGAACACGAAAAAGGGTGAAAGGTCATTAGTTTTTATTGTTTTTGGTCTCACGGATTTTGTGCATTTTTTAGATTTTCAA